TCTTGCCTTCTAAGAGTATTTTTTTGTTAGTAAAAATCACCAAGATTACAGAAATACCTCTTTCTTCTCCAACAGAGAGATGAATGGAGCTGAGCGTTGAGCTCTCCCTTAAAAACAATCCGTGGTAATTACCGGCACTCTCCGCCGTGCGGCATGCAGCAGCAGACGGCGTTTTATCCGCGCGCTAATCGCCCCGCAGCCTTATTTAATTTCATCCGTCCTCACTTTTAAACACGTCGCAAGAGATGCACGAGCGGCAGCCGGGGGCAATATTATGACACGAGTAATAAAACCCGTCCCGTCAACAATGCCGATGTGATTACGCGTCTCCGAAACTGACAGCCGCAAGAATACCCTCTATTCTTTCAATTACTAACGAATTACTCCTGATTGTGTCGAGGCATCTTTCTTTGCGCTCGGCTTTTGCTCACCAAAGTAAACTCGCCAGCGCAAGCTCTTGTTAGCCTAATGCGTCTTAGCCATTAGCGGGAGTAATAAGTGTATCAAATTCACATAATCATGTCTAATTAGTATCGGTAATTATCTTGTTGGGCGCAGGAATATTAATCTCGCTGGTGCCCGCAGGGGAAGGGCGTCTCTCGGAGGGAGGGAGCGAGGAGAGCTCCTGCCTCACGCTGAGGAGTGCGCTTGCTAAATTAGTGCGCCTCAAATCAGAGCCACAGAGGGAGGGAGGGGAAGCAAGAGAACGACAGGAAAAGAGAGACAGAAAGGAGGAAAAGAGAGACAAAACAGGGATATGGCGACTGTGAATAGAGTCGAGGAATATGCCGAAGAAGTTCTTTTAGGCTTGCGTGGGCTTGTTTGATTAAGTAATTCTTGAAGATTTGTATGTTGGTAGGTGCTGCTAAACAGTAAAACACTAATGATCACGCCTAAAGAAATAGTTTGGCAAAAGATCTAATTTACAGTTTTCCACATTACTCCAAGTGTAGTTGATCAGACAAGACGTGTTTGGTGTCTGAAGTTTGCTTCTTTAGTTTTGGGGTTTTATGAGGCAAATGTATCAAATGTAATGGAACCTTAAACTCTATCAATTAGCATAACTCAGTCGTCTTACAGTTGCCTCAAACTGCATTGTGTCAAGTCATCTCAAATAGGCTTATTTCTTTCTTGTCATGACAATGTGTGACATACTGTTATCTATAAAAATGACAGAAGGACTTCACATAGCTAAAACAGAGCTGTGAATGCTGCAATTGTTATAGATCATGGTGTGAAAATGTACAGTGATTTAGGTATGTAATTTGCATGTTGCCTATGGGAGCTTCCATTACTTCTTAGCAAGATTAGCCTTGTAGCTCGAGTGCAAAACTGAAGAAGCAAACACTGGGCAACAAACCTGGCATGGCTGATCAAATACATTTTTATCACTGAACTGTTGTTTGAACTGAAAAACAGAAATCACATCGACTCTATATTGACTGTTGCAGCTTTAACTAAGAACAAAATCAGCTACGCTAACATTATCTGAACACAATGTTGAGTGTATCAACTTTAATGCTGAACAATATGGAGACAAGCTACTAGTTCTTTTAAGCTCATTTCATTGTGAGAATCATTGTATAGTCTAGTTTCACCTAATTAAAATGACAACGAGTTCACAATGAACTTGACATTAAAATCTCAGTCCAGAATCACTGCATATGGTAAACTGGTAGTGTTCTACAGGGTTACAGGGCCTACAGTGTGGGCCTACTTTTAGTAAGCTGAGTTAGTCTAGACACACGGCATGAAACTCTTTAAGCAGTAAATGTTTTTAAGTCTTGAAGACCATGAAGTTTGTTTGTTTATTTATTTATTAATTACAATTCTCTGTTTGCCATGAACTTCTGGACTGTTTTCTGTCAAGAATGATAATGGGGTTCAGATAAGAATGAATTTGCAGTTCATGGAAAAGTTTGGATAAGAATCAGATTTGGAGAAAAAATTTAAAATTTGACTATTAATGGAAAGGTAGGCTATAACTTTAATCAGCCAGGTTTGATTGTTTTCAAACACTTCGGTTTCCAACCTCTTTGTTATTGCTGTTCATGAGGGATCATTTGGCAGGTTATTCAGGAGCAGGTAGCGAAACCATTGGCACCTAAACCACAGTCGTTTCTGACTTGCAGCTTGTCGCCATGCAATCGTTGTCTTTCTAAAAAACTATCAAGCGGTTCTTCTTGAAGCGTTTGGGTGGGCCGCCTCATCCCGTGTTTTCGGGGAGCAGCAGGAACGGCAGGGGAGGACCCCTGCCCAGCGGCGGCGTTAATGACGGGCGCAGGGCGTCCGCCGGGCCTCTGATTGGAAGCAGGCGGGGACGCCACCGGGGTAGATGGATGTGGCAGGCAGCGAGTGGGGGAGAGCTAATTACCGTTCCGAGTGTATCTTGTTAATTAAGGGCTAATTAGTGGCAGAAACCGAGAGGGGGAGAGAGAGAGAGGGAGAGAGGGAGGGAGGATGAGAGGCGGCAACTGCTCATGTAGCGCAGAGCAATGAACATGGAGAGGTGGCAGACCCCATCACAGAGAACAAGCAGGAAGAGAAAAATGGAGACGACATGCAGAGGATCTGGACGTGTTGGAAGTGTAGAATCATTAATCAGACTGTGCTGCAGTACAGTACCGTTTATGTATTCTAAACTACGTCTGCCCTTGTTCAGTATTTTTGAATGAAAATGTTTTGGGGAATATTTCAGGCAACTGTTTTATTTATTTTTATTTTTTAGTATATTATTGTTGTCATGTCAAAACCTTGCAAGTCTGTGTATTTTTTTTTTGCACCATTGAAAAACACAAGCTGCCTTTTACCTTGTGTCAAGTTTTCATGACTAAGTAAACCAATGGAAATGGTCCAAATTTACTTGGTAGAAAATCCTGTTATTTTACCTTACATTGAACCCGAAGAACATTTTTTCCTTCTTATATGTTAAGTTACCAGTTTGGATATAAAAGCAACAATATATTTTGGTCTTTTGAAACAATATGTTTGCAGGGAACTGTTTGTTTTACTACTTTAGAGGAACATGACCAGATGCTACAAAATGCTGTGCACTTTGGAACCATTTGCATGTGTAAAACTCAATGAGGAGTAGTCTTCAATCACATTCTTCTTGATCTTTTGTCAACCCCTGAATGAACTTTTTAAGTTGTAGTCCTGCCTTACATTTACACCGAACTCCTTACATATAATATTCTTATTTCATCCTTTTTCTGTGTGACAGTCTGACAGGTCTCTGGCAGACTTTAACATCAGTGACTGGCTTATTTTACCTTGTTGTCTGTATGAAGTACCTCTGTTAACCCACTTCTTAATAGGGTTGCATCGATACCGTCTCGGTATTGACAGAGATACTGGCACTAAAATATAGTATTGGCAATAGAGAATACCAATACCACAAAGGAATTTCTGATGTGGGTGCACTTTCAACTGAGTGACGTGTGCAAGCACACTAGTAGATGCATCACATCAGCAGTGTGGGATAACAAACAGTAGTAAAAATGCTCATTGCAAAATCTCTAACTTCAGTATTCTGACAGTTTAGTACCTTTTTTCTGAGAGTGCCCACATCCTCTATAGAGAACACACATTTTCTGAATTTAACATACAGGCTGACATTCACCAGTTTTCCACAAATAAGCACAGATAATGCAATGTACATGCAATGCAAAACATGCTAACGTTAGCCCCCAGAATCCGACTATTTTTCATCTTCTGCTGTGTAGTTACAGTCTGAGTTAATGTTAGTGGAATCCAGGGAGTGAAAATTAACAGGTTTCTTAGGGTAGCGACAGGGTTTGCATAGCAGCCTGCTAGTGGCTTCTGTTTCTTCAAGCACCGCCTTTGTTGTGTCAGCTGTGTCAGACAGTGGTGTGATCTGGGGCCTGGTGCTTGCATTTAGTGAAGAATCTGCGACTCACCTGATGTTACTGTTAGTGTGAATGACTGTAATATTTACCAAATTCCAGCAGTGACTGACACTCATAGATGTAAGCGTGCGTGTGTGTATGTATGTATGTATGTATGTATATATGTATGTATGTATATGTATGTACTAAACAACATGTATTTTACAAAATTTAGTAGCAATAGAGGCTGCGGCAAGCTTACGTGTATGTACTATAGTTTAATGGATCCTGTTTTTACTTTTCTGTTTTTTTGTTTGTACTATTTGATCTCAGTCAAAATATTTAAAATTTATTTGTTGCTAAATATATAAAGTGAAGGGGCATTGCAGATTTTTTTTTTCTTTCCCCAGTAATTTTTTAAAAATGTAACATTTTAGATGCTTAAGAAAACTTATTTTCAGATGCAGATAGTATCCGTATCGGAAGGAAAAAGTGGTATCGGTGCATCCCTACTTGTAAATATGTCCAACTGGTATGATAAATCCACTGTTGTGCGGTTCAGAGGAGAATGGGTTTTCCTTTAACTGTTTTCCTTAGTGTTTCTTCTTTGTGCTCGACACTTATTAGGGATCTGGTCTTGCATGTCTGGAAAGCTTAGGATTTGGGATAATTGTCATAGAAAGTGCTATTCAAATAATTGAATTGAACTGAAAAAATGACACGGTACATCCACGTTGAAGCAGCGCATGTGTTTCTCTGAAGTTCAGATGCGCCTTTTGTCTGTTTAAACCAGCAAGTTAGTGATTGTGCTTTTGGGTGATATGTTTTTGGGCAGGTGCACAGTACTAGGACAGGACACTGTAACCTACAGCCAAGGTTAGGTTGGCGCCCCGGGCTCATCTCTTTCCATTTCTGGTGTAGTGTCCTAATTAACCAAGCCTGCTCATTGGTGCTTATTTGTTCAGGAAAAAATAACTTTTACATGTTATTTGATGTCATTGTACATCATTAGGATGTAGATGAAGGCAGTGAAAAGGATATTGTATGCTTCCAGTGATATTTGGCCCAGTTGTGAACAGGTGACCAAGTTGAATTAGTCTTGTAATGCTATATTGGAGTGAGTTTTAACCCCTCTTTCTCTTTCTTCTCCAGGTGCTCCTCATTCTAACAGCAGTACATCTTTGCAGTCCGGGGGCTCAGCTGCTGGGATGGGCATGGCTGCTGTGGGCGGAGTTAAAGAGGGAATGCACCAGCGCTCCTTCTCCGTGTCCAGCGCTGAGCAATGGAATGAGGCTGTTAACACCAGCAGCACCGCAGGTCAGTCTCTCTCTCTCTCTTTCTCTCTCTCTCTCTCTCTCTCTCTCTCTCTCTCTATCTCTCTACAACAAAGAAGTATTACATCACAGACAGTTAAAATTCTTTTAAGTAGTTTTAAGAACTTTTAGTAACAGATGTAATGTTATACTAAAAAAAAAAAGTAAATAAAATGTGTTGTCATTGTCCAAAAACAAACAAACAAACAAACAGAAAAAACAGTTTTTGATTCATTTTATTTTCATCAGTCATGTAAACATGGCTGCTGTCCTTTATATTGTGTAAAATTTTATGATGAATGGACCAGTAAAAATGCTCCAAAATTTCATGGGAAAATAAAAAAAGTTACTGTTTTGGACAGTGTCGATGTGTTGGTGACGTCCAACTATGTAAGGGTGACAAGTTCAAGCTCTCATTAGGGCTCACACAACTTCTTTATTTGTGTGATGATTTGTCTTTTAGGTCTTACACAAATATTACACTTTGACTACAATGGCAAAAAGTTTTGGCACCCTAGTTTAGAGTGTCAGTTTTTGAGTATTAAGGAAAAACTATAAGAAGTCTCAGTTGATTTGAAATGATCAAACAGTGTAAGTGATGCTTTGTGTCCACTTTACACTTTGCCAGATTCATCTGCTCGCAGCTGGTGGGTGTTACTTTGACATTTTTGTTATGTTGATAAAAGAACTATAACTATAAACATATCAGAGGACGTTTCTTATTTGTTCTAACGTAATACAAAAACTTACAATGAGAAAAGAATACAGACTTACACTTTTCATGTATTTTCAAAATGCATCAGTCATCCGCACAAATTAGCTCACTAGCAACCTTAGCACATAACCTATGGGTTACATTTTGCCTTCTCTCTCCAATGATGTAAACTTTATACAGTCAGATGTTCTCTCACAACACGTATAGTTGTTTCCAATTTTGGCACTTTAGTGAAATTACACATTTTATTAATTTTCTAAGTGAAAATAAGTACACTGTCAGAAAAAGGTACTGTGCAGGTACATTTTTCATTGATTAAAGTATATATACCCTCAAAGGTACAAGTGCTTTAGGGTCCAACTGTGTACCTTAAATATGTCTCCCAAAGTAAAAATAAAAATATTAAATATGGCCTGTGCAAAAGTTATGGTACATTTTATATTTTATGTTTTTATTTTTTTCCCAAAATGTTAAACTTCAAATTTGCAGAAAAATGCCACATTCCCTGTAGAAGATGTGTTAATTTATTTACACTTAGAAAAGCAACAAAACATGTAATTTTTACAAGGGGTATTTAAACTTTTGCAGATGCCCATATGTATCAAACTAAATATTTTCATTGTTGTATTAAACTGCCGGGTTCAAAGAAGAGAGAGAGCCGCTGTTCCCCTCACTGCCCTGAGAGACAGTTTTACCCGTTGTTTGGCATTTGCGTGATTAAGACGGGGATTATTATTCTATAATTAAGACTTGATGTGACATCCATTGGAAAGAAGAGGGTGAATGTGTACCGTAATAGTGGAGATGGAGTGATAACAGAAACAAAACTACATTCATGTCTTATGTAACATGTATATGTTGTTTGGAGTGGGTCACTCGCTGTCTTTTGTTGTGCCAGGCAGGTATATATTGTCTTACCAAAGCACAGCACACTCTTATTTTATCTCTCTTTTTCTCTCTCTCTCTTTAAGGGCCTCTTTAACAGGCCTTAGTGCAAGTGAGATAACTGGAAACTAAACTGGTTTTCTGTCATTATTAAATATCAGTGATATGATACCTTCAAACTGAATAGAAAGGAACAGAAAATAACCTCACAGTATTTTTTTCCATAAGCTACAATCCAAAGATGAACTAGGACTATAACTTTTATTTTTATATTTAAAAAAAAAAAATCTTAGTCTGGTCTCAATTTTGACTTAGACTCAGCTATTACAAAGTCTTAGTCTTGTCTAGGACTTGATGTGTATCGGTCTTTGTCTTGACTCATACGTGCCTCTAGCGGTCTTTACTAACACTAACTTGCATATTCTTGCCTTTCCTTACCGTCCTGTGTGCTTCTGGCTCGTAAGTCACCGGCATGGTCTGCTACAAAACTGAATGAGCCTCAGAACAACTCTATGAACTAAACAGCATCGGCAGTACATGTGTTAGCATTTACATGTACATTAAAGCTTTGATGCTTCAGTGTAATATCCCATGGACAGTTAGACAATTATAGGTGCGTTTTCTGTGCGTTTAATGAGAAAGTTGCTCTGTGTGTGTGTGTGTGTGTGTGTGTGTGTGTGTTTTTGCAGAGGTGGAAAATGTAAACCCTAATCAGACTAATTCAGTAATTACAGCTTTGATCACAGCTCTGCTATTGCCACCCACTGCAGCAGAGTATTTTTTCTCTTCTCAGTCCCTCTCTCTCCTTCTCTCTCTCTCTTTCTCTGTCTCTCCCTCCCACTCTCTCTCCTTTTCAGCATCTTGTCAGTGCACTTGACTGAAGTCAAATAATATATTTGCCAGGCGTAACAACGCTGCATTTCTTCTTTTTTTCCCTCTCCCCCCTTCCCCTCTTCTTTTCCCTCCTGTGTGGGGAAAATGAATGTTTTACGGGGGCAACATTCATCACTGGTTATTTCCCTCTCTTTGTCGGCTGGCAGTAAAAAAGCACTTAAATGCACATCAACAGAATAACAGTCATTTCCATGCATGTTTGCACACTCGTCGTTCTCATTAGTGCCTGCTCCATCTCTCTCTCTCTCTCTCTCTCTCTCTCTCTCTCTCTCTCTCTCTCTCTCTCTTTCTTTCATACTCTTTCTCTCCCTCTTTCATGCTCTCTCTCTCTTTCTCTCTCTCGCTCTCTCTCTCTCTCTCTTTTGCCCTTATACACTCATACTCTCTCACACTCATACTCTCACACTCTCTCTCTCTCTCTCTCTCTCTCTCTCTCTCTCTCTCTCTCTCTTTTTCCCTTATACACTCATACTCTCTCACTTGTACTCTCTCTTTCTCTGTCTGTCTGTCTCTCTATCTCTCTCTCTCTCTCTCTCTCTCTCTCTGTGTGTGTGTGTGTGTGTGTCTGTTAGGGTCCCCGGGGTCCCGCTAGTTTAAAGAGTGGTCTTTATGAGTGCAGTGGAGACCCCATGGTGCTGCAGACTGAACACGACTCTGCTCCTTTCTCGTCTCGCTCACCCTTCTCTCCCCATCTCCGCCCGTCCAACAATCAATTTCAGCATCACCGCCATCGGCCCCCCGCCTGCACCCATCAGCTCCACGCCCCAAAGCAGAATTACTCACAGGGCTGCTGCCCTCACTATCAGCTCACCAAGTGTGTGCCTGTGTGTCTGTGTATGTGTGTGTGTGTGTTAGTGTGTAAATGGGGGAGCAGTATAAGAGCGCAGAAATTTGAGCCAAACACTGAATTATAGCTTCATTACATTTTGTTTTGTCTTGCATAACAATTATTATCAATATGGTTACTTAGAAATAGCTGATATATTTCCTCCAAAATTATTTCCAAAGAGTTGGATGGGGTTTTCATTCGTTTTAGCCTGAAAATACTCAAACTTCTGCCATGTTCCATCTAATGCTCCACTGTCATTATTATATCAGGAAAATATGTTGAGAAAATGTAGTGGGAACTTGAGATTTTCTTCCTGTGCACATCAATGTTGTTAGTAAAAATACAAGGTGTGTCAGTATTCACTAGGATCGAATGTAATGGAACACATTATCAGGTTCAGAACTATTTCAATTTTGAGATCAAGTTTCAATTTCATTCAGTTCTCTATCTTTTACAACTCCTCATCTAACAAACTAAATAACAAAAAATCACAGCTCCTAGAACTATAAGCACTATAGCATGAGCTCCTCCCCCTCCTGCCCACTTTACTCTGACAGGGGGCACTCAGGTACGATACACTGTTACACAGATTTTTTGATACTGTACTGATATCACTACACCCTTAGTATTTACTGATAATTTGCTTTCCAGTTGCATTGCATGTAATTGGTGACACTAGTATTATGTACAAATTGTATGTGCAGACTAAATAAACTAATTTTATGTAGTAAAAGAACCTTCTATGAAAAGCAAAACAGCAAGAATGAAGCAAATCTTGTCATTGCAACTGTTTTATTCAGTGAAGACATCCCTGACCTTACCTCCAATCAGCTTCACCACTTATTTTCTTAGAGCATGCAAATTCGTAAAGTGAGCAAGCTCTCGTTTCGCCATTTACACAGAGTCAAATGCCAATCACTACCTTATCCTTGCTGTGGTTGAAGGTCAGCCTGTGCAACTGTGTTGCGATGAGGAAGATGATGAGCAGCTGCAGATTGATGGTGTCCCGAAAATCTAAGATGCGTCTTAACCAAGTAACCATCTCCATCTTATTTAAGCTGTGTCCTCATTATAAAACACCATCGGATGAGGAGAGGACGGGGCAGCGACGGCCTCTGAATATCGAGCATGGAGCTCCTGATTAAAACTCATCTGCTCAGAGTCTTATTTCAGGAGTCACTCATGTATGATATCTTTCGTAGGACAAGGATACACAAGCTATGCATGTATGTGTGTGTTCTCATTGTAATAATGGCCAGAAAATGTCCAGATCAGCTTTGTTACATGCTCACACAGATTGACCACATGCACTTATGCAAACATCAGCATGTTTCAGAGTCCAAGAATGAAGGCTGAGATTCTTTGTTTAACCATTAGAAGTCTAGAGGTCTAAGATGTGCTAACAACCAATAGACTGCCAGTACTTTGCGCTAGTGGGGGTGGCTAACATTGCGGGGTCGCTACTAAGAAGTTCCGTGCAAATGAGCACTGGTATGACTTTGTGATTAACTTGATCGGTGCAGTATAACCACATGTTTGATTCACCTGCTTTTACATCCCTGTTTCCAAAAAAGTTGGAACTTTGAAACGAATTCATTTCGCAAGTGCATTTAGAATTTCTGTGACATTGTAAAATCCCTTTTTAGTGTCACTGAGAGCTTCCTGCTCAAACTGCTCAAGC